CTATGCCACTGTTCCTGTAATCCTGGTGTTTTTTTTTCTCTCCATCTAGAATATCTTTCAGTATTTCTGTAGGATTGGATTGGTGGTCACGAACTCTCCCAGTTCCTCTTTGACAGGTAAGTATCTTGTTTCTCCATTAATTTTGAGAGACAATTTTGCATTATACATCAATCTGGATTGGAGGATTTTTTTCTTTTAAGACCTGGAATAATTTGCTTCAAGTTCTTGATTTGATGATTTGTGTTGAGAAGGCTGTCATGCTTTTGATGAGTTTTCTTTTGTAGATGATCCCTTTCTTTTCTCTGGCTTTAATATTCTGACCTTCTGATGTATTACTGGAATCTTGATTATTATATGTCTGGGTGTAGCTACATTTTGGTTGTAGGTGGCTGGAGTTCTGTATGCCTCATACATCTGAATATCATTTTCTTTTCCTATCATTGTGAATTTTTCCTTAATTATTTATGTGAATAGCCTTTGTATTTCCTTTGTGTTTACCCCTGCTTCTTCACTCACATTTTTATTATTAAGTTATAAATCCTTGTGTCATCTTCTAGCCTTTGTATTGTTACTGCCTGTTTCCTTATTTTTAATAGAACTTTTCTTTCATGATCACATATTTCAAATCTATCTTCAAGTTTTGTTTATTTACCTCTACTTTCTTTCAGGCAATTTTGCCAACTTTCAATGGAGATTTTAATTTCCTGGTAATCTCTTTGAATCTCTTTGAATTTCATGCATTCTAGGTATTTTTATGTTCTAAATCAAATGTTTCTCTCCCTTTTTGTGGGAGATGTGTTTCTCCCATCTGTGTCTTCTTGAAAGATGCTTAGCATTTATTTTATTAATCTTTTTATATCTTGCTTTACTTGTATTAATATTTCAGTTTTAAGATCATCTATAATGTTACAGAGCTATTTCTAACTGATGTTGTGTATAATATTGCATGTTTGCTGCCCTCAATTTTTTCTGTACTCATACCTCTTGGACTGATATTTCTTGGGATGGGGATGGGGCTTTTTAAATTTCTTTCTCTTGTTGTGTTTCTGGTTTCCTCTGTACAGTTGTATGGTGGAGTTCCCAGCCCCTTTCCTTGTTGGTTATGGTTCTTCTGAAGTGCTAGGAATTTCTTCCCTTTCCAGCTTTCTGTTGATCATTGAGGTACAAGCAGGGGTGATGTAGGCTTCCCCCACTCCCGAGTCATTCAAGAAGTAGTTACCTTCACCACATTAGTGCATGCCTCATGAACATTACCAGCTCAGGACAATTTCAAGGACAATTTCATCCCTGGATATTGGATTCTTGCCATTGGGGTGACTCAGCCCAAGCAGATCCCACCAATCTACTCTGGTCAGGGAACAACCTGTTCCTTGTTTAGGCCCTTCCTGCCCAATACCAACATGTCACTGCTGTTCCTTGTTTAGGCCCTTCCTGCCTAATACCAACATGTCATCCAGTTAGTCACTCTTTTCCTGCAGGAGGGTTAAATTCTTAGTATTCACTGCAAGCGGATTATTGCCAATCTCCACACTGGGTCTGTTCTCTGTTGGGTTTGCTAACTCCTGAATTCAGCACAAGTGTGGCTCCCATGTCACATTTCTACTATGTAATGATCATTGATCAAACTGTCACTCATAAACTAGGAAGCAGATTTGCTCTTTCTTAGCTTGTGAAACTATTAAAAGAAAATGATTGCTGATTTAGGAACCCAGTTATTTATCCACTTTTATGCAATTGGCGGAGAAATACAAAATCACAACTAAAAGAAAACAATCAGTAATTTGATCTGATTTTGTGAGAATAGGATTCCATTAAATCTTAGAATTTATAGTTGGTACAAGTGAATTAACTTTGGCTATACATAGGCCTTTTACATCTGAAAGTATATAGAGGAAATTTACAAAAAAAAAGGAAAGTTGGCATTCATGTTGGACTTTGTAAATGGTGTTTACATCAACATGGAGGACAATTGCATGTAATCACACATGATTAATGCTTTAAATTACGACTCTGATGTCTACAACACTGTTGTACTCATACGTTGGAAATGTGTAAGAACAAGAAAAATAATTATCAAGCAAAGTTCTAGTGTAACAAGATAAATCTCCTATCTCTGAGACTTGGAATTAGGTTACCTAAACCTCTGCTCCATCAAATTTATGCATCTTCAATCCTGAAATTCAAGAAGACCCCCACTAACTTCAGATCACTAAATGAGAAGAAATCATGAGGATGAGGTGGAACATTAAAAAAAGCAACATGGAAAACAGGAATGCATAAACCTCAACATTGTAAAGTTTAAACATCTACATTTTAAAATATAAAAATGAAAGCAAAACTAAAATTTGTACATGTGCTTATACCAAAGAGCCCTATCTTCTTCACCTTACCAATAGTTGTATGTAAAAATAATCTGTCAGCCAATGATATATTCTTACCTTTACTGTCCTGATAAATGAAATATGAAAAATAAAATTCTCTACCTCCTTTTACAATTTTTAATTATTCTACATGTTGATTCTTGATTAATAAACAAAGATATTCACGTATTTTTGATACTTGCTAAGTGAGTGACAAAACATATATTCTTACTGTTTTATATGCTGATTTAGAATGAGTGCTAGGTGCCCCACACACTTGAAAAGTACTCTGTTATTGACCTATATGCAATTTAAAAGTATTCATTCTCTTCTCAGATTTCGGGTACTCTACATACATATTTTCATAATGTTGCACTAGTTTACATTCCTACATGCCTTTTTTTATATGAGACACACAGATAAAAAGATAAAGAGCAAAATGAAAGATATAAAATAGAAGGTACTGAATAGATCTTTGTAAAACTAAAGGGAGATCAAACAATTAAGGGAAGGTGGAAAAGGACAGTCCTTGAAAGAAAAGAATTTCAATATGTTAAACACATGTTCCAACTCCACACAAGAATTGTGGACATTATGTGCTACACACATGAACTTAAAAAAGAGCATTCATAAAAAGGTATAAAAAGATTATGTACTTAGAGTACATACTTTAGTATTGGACTATGTCTTTTGTAAGGATCTCATAAATTATACATGTTTATTTAATTTCAAAATATTCTACTAATACACAGAAATTATTGTTATCTTGAGACAGCATTTTTAGAAGTCTTGATTCGTGTACATCTATTTTCTATTTGTACTTCTATGAAATTAATTTCCTACTCCTTACTATCATCACAGACATGTCAGCTCTTTTTTCCTTTACTATTTGAGGCAATGTGACCTTAAATTAGTGTGATATTTGAAGTCACAAGTGGTATTTCCTTGTTATAATTTAAAGCACCATACCAGTCTGAAAGGGTCCGGCATTTTTCTTGTTTTGTTTTGAATCATGGTTTTTATTGAAACTTCCAGAAATTAAAACATATCATTGAAGTATTCTGACTGAATATGCATAGAAATGCCTTTCTAGTTACCTCTGTGTTGTGTCTTTAAATATTTCATATTAATTTACATTTTAGAGAACTCCTATAAGTAGGAAATATGAAAATTTGTGAATTTCTTGTCAAAATTGACCACAAATTCTTTTTTTAAATTTTTATTTAAAGAAAGGTTAAACAAAAACAGAAAATAGGTAGAAATAGTACATACATTCAGAAAAAAAAAACAGTAAGAAATCACTAGTTGATGTTGTCGTTTTACAAATAGTTGTTTAAGGTACAAAAATGGAACATGTAAAGTGGGAATTCAAACAGAGAGACTGCAAATGTTCTAATCAACTGTCCAACAAAAACTTAGTAACATGGTTGTCAATCCTATACATTTAAACATGCATGCCATTATCCATATCTTCATTTATGTTTAGATTAAACAAACTAAAGCAGGTTAAAATTATTCTGAACAAAGAATAATACTATTGCTGGATTTCATATCATGACACTCTGTGATCAGCACTGGGTACTGTAGTGTCTTCTTTTTAAAACTGAATTTAAAGAAAGCCTAAAAAACAGAAAATGGGTAGAAATAATACATAATTTCAAACCAAAATGAACGGTAAGAAGTCACTAGTTGATGATTACAGATTGTCTTCTTACAAATAGTTATTCAAGATACTAAAGTGGAACATTTAAAGTGGGGATTCAAACAGTGAGGTTGCAACCAGTTCTGTCCAACTAACCAACAAAAACATAGAAATATGGTTATCAAACCTATACACTTAAACATATATGCAGTTATCCATATATTCAATTATGTTGACTTTGAATAAACCCAAGCAGGTTAATATCACACTGAACAAAGAATAACACTATTGCTGGATTTCACATTATGACACTCCAGGATCAGCATTGGCTATTTTAGTGTCTCCTTTTCTTCAAAGTATCTGTTCATTTCATCAATTGTCATAAGATCAGTTCTCATAAACTGTTTATAGATTCTACACATGCATGAGTCTTAACATGGTTTTTTTTAATTTTGAAAGTAGTAAAAATGCTACAGCACAAGACGGAACAAAGCCAATTGAGACAATGCAGTGAAACTGGTACAGGATTTCAAAGTAGGATACTGGGATAGTAGTAATAAGTACTATTGTATATCTCTTTAACTTAACAATAGCTGTTCAGTCAATTACATATTGTAAAATCAAACCAAAAATAGAACATTATAAAACCAATTGAGAATACTGAATAGAGCAAAACAAACATAACAAAACAGTGAAAAAAACCTATGCCTTCAAACAGAAGATAGAAGGAAATCCCCCATAATTGCTATAATGCATATGGTCATCCTCTCAAGAGATGTTAAAACATCTATCCCCAGGAGCTAAGGTGGAAGGGGGGCAGGTGGAAGAAGGGTGCTTGATTTTTAGCTCATATGGCAGTAGGCTCACAGGTAATGGTTATTCTCTAGGCCCAAGCTGCAGGTGCTTACCAAGAGTGCGGGTGAATAAGCTGCTTGAGTCCCTCCATTGCCAGATCTCTGAGCTCTGTTATCCTCCCGGCCCGCTTTGCACATGCTTACCAAGAGGGTGGGTGAATAAACTGCCCGAGTCCCTCCATGGCCGGATCTGGAGCTCTGTTCTCCTCCTGGCCGCGTTGTGGATGCATACCAAGAAGGCAGGTGAAGGAGCTGCCTGAGTCCCTCCATGGCTGGATCTCTGGATCTCTGTTCTCCTTCTGGCCAGCATTGCAGAGGCTTACCAAGAGTGCAGGCAAACAAGCTGCCTGAGTCCCTCCATGGCCGGATTGCTGGAGCTCTGTTCTCCTCCTGGCCAGCATTGCAAACGCTTACCAAGAGTGCAGGTGAATAAGCTGCCTGAGTCCCTCCATGACTGGATCTCTGGAGCTCTGTTCTCCTCCTGGCCCGCATTGGGGATGCTTACCAAGAAGGCGGGTGAATAAGCTGCCTGAGTCCCTCCATGGCTGGATCTCTGGAGCTCTGTTCTCCTCCTGGCCCATGTTGCGGATGCATACCAAGAAGGTGGGTGAAGGAGCTGCCTGAGTCCCTCCATGGCCGGATCTCTGGAGCTCTGTTTTCCTGGCTAGCATTGCAGATGCTTACCAAGAGGGCGGGTGAATAAGCTGCCTGAGTCCCTCCATGACCGGGTCTCTGGATCTCTGTTCTCTCCCTGGCCAGCATTGCAGATGCTTACCAAGATGGCGGGCAAATAAGCTGCCAGAGTTCCTCCATGGCCGGATCTCTGGAGCTCTCTTGATGACAAATTCTTAAGGAATTCATAGTATTAACAATTTATAATAATGAATATGATTTTTGTGTTTATTATGTACATTTTACTCAATTTTCAAATAATATCTGTTACTTCTAGCTTTAAATATTGATTTGTTCTTTTTTATTTGATTCTATTTGATTAAGTTCTATTCTCCAATTTAGTGGTGAACCTTCAATTAGAAATTGCAGGTGATCATTCCTTTAATAATTCCTTACTTCCCATGTATAGACTGAGAGAAGTCAGTGCAGATCTCAGCAGTTAACTAAGACCCTCCACCAGGTTCCCATTCACAGTAAAGTTCAAAGTTTAATGAGCTGTTCTATAAAAAAAATTTGAAAAAGAAAATAGTTGTCTCAAACACTATTAAATGTGCCCTTTAAATCCTGTTAAATAAGAACTACTTGCAAAAAAGAAAAGTAAAAATGTAAAATTATTATCAAACAATTTCATTTTTTTTGCAGATTATCTGCATTTGGAGATAAGGGAAAGATGGGGAAGCATATTGACATTTTCATTTAAAGGTTGGATATTTCCAAGATGAGACTGACAATTGTGGTTTTGTAATAGGTGATCCATTAAAAGTTCTTTTTCTTTCTTTCTTTCTTTTTTTTTTTTTTTTGTTGGTACCAGGGATTGAACTCATGATCGCTTGCTTGCAAGGCAGGTGCTTATGCAGCTGAGCTAAATTCCCAGTCCCAAAAGTTTTAAAAATTAAGAGAGACCCAGATTCATCATGCTAAAATCTTCACGTAAAAACCACTACAGAATGCACAGAGTATTAGTAAAATACAAAGTAAACAAAACAAAAAAATAACATAACAAGGTTGTGGAGGGAGTGGCAGAAGCTAGACATTCATCACAGATGTAGGTTTAAAGTGAGGCCAGCCCTGAAGACAGGGAGAACCCAGAGAAAGCTAAATAAAAAAAATTGTTTTTCTCCTCTGAGATGCCAAGGGGACCAGGTCAGCCTGAAGAACAAGTTGCTAGGCAGAGCAGTTGAAATAGATATTATCCTTGTTAGTATATAAATAGATGTACATTTCTCTTATTTCTCCATCCCCTTTCTCTCTTTTGCCCTGGGAATATGAAGAGCTGCATTGGTAAACAACAACTGTTCCCTGAAGCATAGACCTAGGTAAGAAGAAAGAGGGTGGTGACAGTTGTCATTGTGCATGGAAAAGTGAGGATAAGAGTCTGGAAGAACATGGTGGATAGATAGCAACAGCCTCGGAGGCTCTCTGGGAAACTGCACTTGAAATCTAGAAATGGTGCTGGGCAGGAAGTCCCAGGCAAGGGGGGATATTCTTTGCTGACACAGGAATGAACTCAATTAAGAGAAACCATCTGGAAGTGCAATCCTGGTGATACAGCAGGCACAGATAAGTTCTCAGCACAGAAGCTGGACCCGCGCCACTGGAAACTGTAATTTGAATTACCTGCAGCTGCTGTTGCATCCCAGTTGGCACAGTGGGGAGAGAGGCATGAAAGCTCAGAGAGTGGGAAGCATTGAAAGGAGTTGGGAGTGGGACTGGCCGGGTACCCTGCATCAACCTGTGGTGAGTGAGCGAATTGAGACCCTTCCATAGAGAAGAAGGCTTCAGCGGAGGACATACTCGGACCAGGCAGACTTCCTGGAACGAGAAGCTGCAATGACTTCAGTCACATATCCCCCTCTCAAGCAGATTGGTGGGGAGTGCCTGGCCTGTGAGACGCCGCTGGCTGAGACCCAATAGGCTAGTCCAACTCAGGTCCCAGCGTCTGGAGGTGTGCCCTAGCAGTGAAGCCTGCAGTAGGTTGACCTGGAGGGGTGGGCCCAGCATAGGCTGGCCAGGTCTGTGTCTCTCTGGTGCCTCTGCAGTGGGCAGGAACACCTAGCCAGTGCAATTCAAACAGACTGTAGCTGACAGGAAAGGAAGCTGGGCTTCCTATACACACTTAAATAAAAGGAACAACAAATATGGGAAGAGGGAGCAACAAGAAAGGGTCCTCGGCCCACAATCCTGAGACACATGCAATAGCAGACACAGCACCAATAGACATAAAGTGCTATCTCCAGAGCCTCATAGACGAGTTCAGGAATGAAGTTATCAATGGCCTGAAGCAAGACATAAGCAGAATAGTTAGAGACATGCTAAGCACCGCCCAAGGAAAAACATGGTGAAATGGAAGAACAAAAAAAAAAAGGGGAGAATTGTTTGATGGAGAAGATAGAGAAAACAGAATACATAAAGCATGTTCAAAGAGATTACCAGGAAACTCAAAACTCTGTTGAAAACTGGCATAACAGTTTGAAAGAAACTAAAAACAGATTATCTGAACTGGAGGGCAGATTTGTAATATGGGAGCATGAAATGAAAAACTTCTTAAAAATAACAACAACAACAACAAAAAACAAAACAGCAACAATACAAAAACTAGAAGATGATAAGAGGATCTATAACTTAAGAATTAAGAACATAAGAGAAGAAGTGGGGACACAGACAAATGGACTACAAAAACTATTCAGAAAAATAATCCAAGAGAATTTCCCTAATTTGGCAAATGTTAAAGATACTCAGATTTATGAGGCATACAGGACTCCAACCCAAACAGAGCTACACCCAGGCATATAATAATCAAAATTCCAGAAATCCAATATAAGAACAGAATACTAAAGCTGTCAGATACAGGAAACAGATCATTTACAAGGGAACACCCATCAGAATTACAGCAGACTTCTCGGCACAAACCATCAAATCATGAAGAGCGTGGGGGGAAATAATTCAAGCTTTGAAAGATAATAACCTCCAGCCAAGATTGATATATCCTGCACAACTGTCCCTAGAAATTGATGGAAAAACAAGGTGCTTCTAGGGGAACTTGCAACCACTAATTCAACTCTACAGAGAATACTGCAGGATAGTCTAAAAAAGGAAAATACCAAGATTCCAGAAATAGTGGCAGAGAGGCCACAGTGAATGGAGCAGAAAACGAAATGAAGAAGACAAACTGACAACAAACGACAAAAAAAAAAGAGCTCAACAGAAATGAGGCAGAGAAGATCGGAAGGTAGGAACAGCCATTTTGGAGAAAACAAGACATCATAATAGCTAGTGCTGATTTAGTATCATCTTGATTTGAAGTCCCATCAAACGTGTATTCTTCTGTCTCCATTGGTCTTAAAAGGTTGTATCTTATTGGATTCTGTTATATATGATAATATAAGCAAAAACTTTTATAGACAAGGAGTTTGTATAGAAACCATTGTTCATTTTCTGTCAATTAGTTTTAAATACCCTGTAATAATGTCGTTCTCTTGAATGGTTTTACAGTGTTTTGATACGTTTGGTGCTACAATATAAGAAGTTATACTCAAAGATTTCAAGGAGAGAGACACTATGGTAACTATTTCTATATCAGGATATCTTGTGGTGAAACACTATTTTGCTTAAATAGTTATGATTTGACCTGCGCTGTTCTGTTGTTATGCCCTCTTTTAGCTCAATCCTCCTTTTCTTTAATCATTTACTTTTTTCTTTTAATTAAGGGAAAAACAAATAAAAATTAGCAGCATACATTATAGTAACCTACTTAGATTTCCTATTAACTTGATTTGAAATCCTGTATTGCCCTCATCATCTTGTTTTGACTGATTTTCCTCTATTCTGCTTTGCTTGATAGTACCAATTTTGAAAGTATAGGCATAACTGTGAAGACAATAAGAATCATTATGATGCCCATTCCAGTTGACTATTATTTTCTTTTAAAATCCTGTAATGTCTCCAATGCTTTGGTTTTATTCTTTACTGTTTAGTTCAATTTTATAACTGCTAATTCTTTTTAAAATAGCAAGAGGCAGTATGGTAAATATTGTTGATCACCTTATATTTTGTGTTTACATTATATATTATGTCCATCCTTTTGATTTGACTGACTCTGTTCTGATATGTCACATTTGGTTTTACTCTCTTCAAAAGAAGTAATAAGAACTGTGGGAGTAATAAAACCCAAAATGTGTAATTGTCATTGTACAAAAGAAAAGAAATGAAAGTGCTCTAAAGGTTATAAATGCATATATGTTTAAGTGTGTAAGACAGATAACCATATAACTGAGTATTTTTTGGATCATTGAACAAAACTGCACTTGCACTGTTTGAAAGTCCACCTTATATGCTTCAATTTTGTAACTTGAACAACTATTTCTAAGATGAGAATATGTAATCTATTCACTAGTGATTTCTTACTGTTTATTTTTTAAATTTTGTATTACTCATACCCTTTTTCTGTTTTTTTCCTTTTTCTCCTTAAATAAATTTTAAAAAGTGAGGGTAAGTGCATTGGTAGTGGTTAATGTTCATCACTGGAATGAATTGATAATAATATCATCAGGTGTTAAGCTTGGGTCAAAATGGGTTCACTATGGTCAAAGGGAGATATAGACTTAAAGCCAAAAAGAGAAACAGGCTCAAGAGAAGTCA